TGCTGTTTGTTTATTATATTAATTGCACACGGCACAATTTCTTATAAATCTTTAGGTTTTTGGTTGTATAGCAATGTCCAGAAGGCTTTAACTCAAATTCAGAATGGGGGTGTTTTCCTGTGTACAACAGCATTTTATATATTATTATTATTATTTAATGATATGGCAACCTACAATTTTCCAGGTTGTTCTACCAGCCCTAGCCAACTGGTTTGCGAGAGCTGGGTTAGAATACCAGACTGATATATTTAAATACAGATATTAAAGGGATGCACTCTATTAGACTGACTTTGGGGACTGACACCAAAATCATTCATTTCTGTTTACAGGAGTGCTACTGCGAAGTTTGCTAAATTTCCTCAAGAGATGTTACTTGAGTCAGCGTTGGGGCAGAAATCTATAAGCTTAATGGTAGCCTCGATGGTCAAATATATCCCCCTCCCTCCACAACTTTCCATTCCATTTCTGTAGCTCTCTCAAACCAACAATCCCACATTCACACCCTCCTCACTGTGAGGTGAGAAAGTAAGCCGGGTTTGAACCTCTCTCTCTAGCTATCTTTTTTTTAATCACATATCTATTTTTGGCACCAAAATGGATGCCTTAGAGGAAAAACTATAAATGTGTGCTCTATTATTATCAGCATTGATCAGCAGGAGACTGGATTACACAATTCTTCCAACATACCTGCCATACCTGCCATTCTTACATAACAGACCAACGATCAGTCATATCAGCATTTTCGTACAGCAAACTGTTTGCTTTTTTTCTCTTCAAATGTCCTGCAGCCCTAACAAATACATTTTTTTCTTTAAATAGCATGCATGTGCTGTCTGTGTTGTAACATATTAATAATGCTGAAATCTTATTACTTCACGGATAAAGCTTTAAGACAGAGATTGAGCGTTTGTATCATCCGGCTGCACACTGATGTCTCATCTATCAGAGGCCCGGCCTATATGGTGGCTTAACAGAGCTACTCTAAAAGACTCTTATATAATTAATCAAACAGAGACACTTTCCTACAGGGACACAATGAGGCAATTTATAGTTCACGCCATCTGTTACCATGACAGCACACCTGCCCTAATGCTAGACAGCACCCACCATGCACACAAATGTAAGAATGCAAGCACACACACACACACACACACAGACACACGCGTTCTTAACTGGATAGCATCTATAAAAACACATTCTCTTTCAGATCTCCTATAATTGAATAATAATGTTATTGATCCTTGAGGGAAACAGCCCTGAAGCTGGGGCTCAAAAACACTTCAGCAGGCCATATGTTTGCCGACTCACAAAGGTCTGAATCCTTGTTATCTGGTTGAAGGCTGCTTTCACTTAGATATTTGTTCATCTGTCCTTTTTTCTCGCCCCTCGTTTTTTCTCATCTCTTCTTGTTAACTGTCAAGTGTGAGGAGGCAGGTGTCAGCAAATCCCGACCATGACGATTGATTATGTTGACAAAGATAATGATAAAAGTGACACCTCTAAGTAGAAGGGAAATGATGGATAGCATGAACATCTTTTTGTTTTCACTTTGAGTCTCATGCTCCGGTGCAGGAGGGAGCAGCAGGCTGAGCTGCAGCAGCTGTGGTTGATCTATATGCAGTTTGTGATTAGATGAGTGGGCTAAACAATTAGACTGAGCTCATTAAACAAGTGGCTACATGTCCCATCCTGGTGATTATTTATCAGTGGATAGTAAATTATGAAGTCTCTTTAGTTTGAATTTGGTCAATGTATTATCAGTGTCAGTAGCTGCAGTATAATTGTTTTTTTTTTGTCTGCCCACTCAGATCATAACAGTTACAGCTACAATGGAGAGACCTGGTCGTCGACAGCAAGCGGAGCTGACCCATATCCGATGCTCCCGCATCCCGGTGACCCTCAGCTGGATCTCAGTGCGCTGGTTTCTATGGAGACTGACAGCGGTGGGGAGGAGGGCGGCGAAGAAACCATTGTGTACCTCTGAATGTTGATACATTTCAGAAACTCTAAACAGCCAACCCAGCACTTAGAAAACGATAAAGACATTTATGAAGCATCAGGATTGGATCCAGGGTGGCTTCAGAAAGCCTTTCTCACTTTTACATCTTTCATCATGTTTTTTTTTTTTATATTTGAAAGATTGCTTTGTGGTGTTTTTTTGCAAAGTGTAAAGTTACTGGAAACATAGAGAGAATGAGAGATAAAGAGACTGAGGTTGTTTCAGACTCAATCTCACATGTGTCATGCACCTTAGCTCGAGGCACCACTGGGTGTTAAATTTCTCTTTATTTTCAGTTTTTTCTGTTTGTGTGGTCTTTATTGACTGGGTCCCTGCAGCAACACAGTTAACCTTTCCACCTTCTTCTTACTGTCCCTCCCACACTGCCTTCCTTTCTCAGGTCCCACATATCTCGTCCCTTGAGCGCTCTATTTAATAAATTTACCACAAGAGGAGAAAAATCAGCCCAATATCAGCAGAACGTCAGGCTGCATCTCTCTAGCGGGTGATTGTCTTGGAGTAAACTGGCCCTCTTTCATTTATCAGACAGGCTTTGTTTATGTACGAGCCGAATGTGAAGCACAAAACATTAGGATTGAAAGATGAGGTGCGACAGCGTCAGTCCCACGTTTTTCAGACTCACTGCCTGTAGCCATCATTTATTTCTTTTTATCTGTAGCATGTTTTTCTTGTTAGGAGACACAAGCCCGTGTGGTTTTGAGAGAGTTGTTGCAGCTGTGCTAATATGTCATGCTAATATGTTTTATCAGAGTGCACAAATTGAACCCGTAAAAGACTGAGAAAACACGTTCTGAGCACAACTCCTCCTGCAAAAAGGGAAAGGAAGTTTTGGTGCGGGAATATGAAAAGGAAAACATGTTGGGTCAAACCATTTTTTAGCACCAATGTATTATTTTGCAGCAATTTTCATGACAAATGTCGGACTACATTTTTGTTTTTGTTTTCTTTCACTCCGTCATTTCTACCCACACTAGCAGCATGGCTCTAGGGAAGGAAACACAGTCCAACAGTTTGGTCCGGACTGAAATATTTCAAAAACTGTTGGACGGCCATGAAATTTTAACATTCATGGGTATAAATCAATATTTTCGTGATACTATGACTTTTCCTCTAGTGCCACCATTAGACAGTGTGGGTTTTTTTTGGATGGATTGTCATGAAATTTGTCATGGCGTATCCCCCTCAGGTTAAATTATAATTATGTTGGTTATCCCTTTACTTTTCATCTAGCACCACCATCAGGTCAAAATTTCAATTTGTTCAGTGCTTTGGTTTATGATCAAAAGCACCTAAAAAAAACTAATGACATTCCCATCAGCCCCGGCTACTTTGTGCTTAGTTTTAATTAGCAAACGTTAGCATGCTAACACTCCAAACTAAGCTTGTGAGCATGTTAAACATTATGCATGCTTAACATCAGCATCGTTATTGTTAGCATGCTGAGATTAGCATTCAGCTCAAAGCACTGTGCCTTAGTATAGCCTCACAGAGCCGCTGTAAACAGTGGAAGATATTGTCCTGAAAATTTGTCACAACCATCCAGAACAATATGAAGATGCCTTATTGATACTGTCATGCTTAACACTAAACTATTACACTTGAATATTCATGTAGTATATTTACATATTATCTCTCATGGGCATTTTATGTGTAACGAGGTCCCTGTGCCAATGCTTTAGGTGTCTTTAGGTGTTTTTTTACAGACGCTATAAAAGATTGGTTTAATAACTGTTGTAGTTTCCTAATGGGACAATAAGGCAGTGGCAGTATTTTGATGTGATCATACCATGTATATATGTTTGCTTTTATTTATTTATTACATTACAAAGAGTTTTCATGTTTTACAGTGCTTTATGAAGGGTTGTATTGTACATAGTTTACCTGCATGAACAGATGTGTATTCGTTCGTTCGTGTTGTGTGCTCAGACGTGGCTGTATTGATAAAATTACTTTAATTGAACTTGAAACAGTGCTTTGTTTTTCTTTAGGATTTTAAATGGGGCTCGGTGAAACTGCTTACAACACAAACACAATGTTCAGCCTGGGTACAAGTATCACCTCAGTTTAATGGTCTGAATGTGAAGCGTCTCCAACAGCGTAAACAGATGTGTGAGCGAGCAGCCTGTTCAGTTGCCAGCAGTGACAGGTGGTAGACCAGGTGCATGAATGTCAATGATTTCCTGTCTGACTGTACCTCTGAATTGAAGTCATGAAAAACAGATATGTTGAAGAATATATGTTGTGCAGCAACTAACAGCCAAGTCACCTAATTTGTGTGTCATTATGTTTTTTTTAATTTTATTTCTGAATCCAATTTACGGGTAAATATAAATATTGCCACTAATCAAAGCCTGTCTCTCTAAGGCTAAAAATAAAAGCAGAGAAGCCTCAACCGGAGTTCCCAGGCTTTCCCCTGACAGCACTAATGTATTTCATATGCTCCACCTGTGTCTCTGTTGCTCTTTCCATTTTAGACATAAGAACAGATGCCTGAGATCAACAGGGTGCCTGCTCTTCCCCCCAGTATGCACCTTATTATTTTACCCGAAATGCTTCATACAGACACCCACTCCATTCCTTGTCAGTCTTTTTTGCTGCTTATTAAATTTTGCAATATTACATGTCATTTGAGGGAAATCCAGTGTAATTCCTGTCTTAACAAGCATGTATACCAATTACCATGTATTCATTTTAATAATTTAACTCAGACTTCATTAGACCTTGTTCTTTAATTCATCAGCCCCTCCCAACTTTAGTCTAATAACTGAGGTTGGAGTGAGTGTGAGCAGATGTGGATAAACCATTCTAATTAAGTAGTACAAGCAGATGTATATCTTTCTCTTTTATTTAAATCACCTTCTAAACCTTCTACAGGCCATAGAAATATTTACGGCCTATTATTTGTATAGATTTTTTGCCATTGATTATAACTGTATATTTTGGGGGGATTTTGCTAATCATGTTTTTTATTTTTTAATTCCAAAGGAAGTATTGCCAAAGAATTAACTTTTAAATGACTCAGTGTGAATCGATTCTGTTATTTTTTACAAGACAGAGTGTGACATATTTAAGTGGAGTTCCTCAAGGGTCAGTTTTTGAGCCTCCACTGTTCATTCTCTGCATGCGTCCACTACTTTAAATTACACCAAATCTGTGATCATCATTGTGCAGACAACAATTTACAGGTTTCACTGAGCAGTTAGTATCCCTAAAAAATATGTGCCAAAATGTCTTCCACTATAGATAAGTCTGGTGATATTATATATTTTTGTCATTGTCAACAATTCCCATTAAAAGATTAAAACTAACAATGAACTGATCATACAAAAATTTATTGTGAGTAAAAAAATGAGAATTTCCCCAGACTTATCCTTTAAAAATATTCTGAAAATGAATGGAAAAACTTTTTACGAATTTAGATTGGCATGGTGGACTACAGTTAAGTGTCAATAGCAATCTGATATCTCCAGCTCATTGAGATGTTGCTGATAGAGATCTTACAAAGAGCAACCGGGCGTTCACAGACACATTTTGTTTCATTAAAATTAAAATGGGAAATATGTAAACAAACACTGTACATTTTCTCGAATGCTATTCAGACCTTCGTGGTTGATTGCTTGTACCTTTTGTATTTTAAAATACTCAAGTTTAAAATACCCTATCTGATCTGGTGTTATGAACCCTCAAGGCCTCTCAGGTCATCTGGGACTGCTTTGCTTCAAAGGGTAAAACAAAATACACTGAAGCAGTCATTAGTTTCTCTACACCACAAATCTGGAGCAAACTTCTAGTGGATCTGAGGTCTGCTGTAAATGTAACCTCTTCTAAATCAATGTTTTTCTGTTTACCACTACTTTATTAAGTTTAAGGCTATTTTTGAACTGTAACCACACTATAACTTTAATTCCCTTGGCTAATATTCTATTTTGATTTTGTGTTATGTAATCAATTAATTTTATTTTTTATTTCCGTTATCTTTTAAATGTTTTAATGCATTTTCCTGCCTTTTATAATCACTTTGTGTTGCCTGTCCCCTTCTCTCTCTGATCTTTCGCACTGAAGAGCATGTGGAGATGTGGTCAGACCTCCGTTTGATCCTCTTTGTACTTCTGGTAGCCCATTAAGGGTCCATTATGCTTATCATCTTTGCTGTTAATATTTACACCACACTCTCTTCCATCAGATTCTTTTGAGCCTATAGTGGAATATCTCGATTATATTGAGTTTTGAAACACTGTGTTCACTTCAATAAGCAGTAGCTTTTGCCATGCTTTTATGGACCATATAGTTGTGCATAATCAAAATGTTCCTGTGTTTTATGTGCCTCTGCATCTTTTTGAGTTCTGCTTAATGGAAAACCTGTAAAAGGCACCGAACAGGATGGAATGTTTGTGTTGGTGTTTAAGTTTAGTGTTTTATTTAACTAAAACGCAAGCTTTTTATATGCATGTCATGGAGATGGGTCTGTTTTGTGTCTGACAGGTGTTCTTGCACATACAAGCGTTCGTACTATGATGTAAATGCCAATCAGCCATCTGGGTATTTTGAGTTCAGCTGGCAGTCTCTGATATCTTTCACTGATAACATCACAAAGGCTTTTCATTTCCTGATAACTTTACAAAGGCTTGTGATTTCCAGATAACTTTTCATGAGAAGTTATTGATTCTGATATATTTCCAGTCTGTTTACAGTGGAATTGTTAATATCTTTGTGTGAATTTCTCTTTCAGTAGTCCACACTGCAACTGAAATAGTGTTAAATACTTAATAGCTGTTTAGTGTTTCACTCCCTCAGCTTCAGTCTGCATAGATTCAATAATCAGAAGTAGTCCCTTATTACACAGTAAAGAATCCCAGTATGTGGCCTCTGTCTGTCTCCTCTAGTTGTTTTTTAATGACCCCTGTGGAAGGTAACCAATAACACCCAAGGAAAAACCGATAAAGGGGAAACATATTATCGCTGAGTCATCTGCCAGGGTGAAACATGCGTTGCTAGAGCCTTTCCCAGGGGGAAGTGTAATGATTTCTGTAGGCGCACAGAATAAACCTGCCCAGCCCAAATATAAATAACAGCCATTAAAGCTTATCCCAGTGAGGAATGCTTTTATGAGAAACCTGAACAATATACAGGTTATTAGATTTCTCTTGGGGTGAAATATAGTGACAGGCTAGACCCAATATATATAGAGGCTGTTCACAACTGCAGCTAGAGGAGAAAATCTACGATGACTCTAACAACTTACTGAATGTTTGACTTTCAATACATTGCCACATTGTCTTTTTTTTCTCTATCAATATATTTAGTGAGACAAAAAATTCAGGACAAATGTAACAGCGCTTATAACATGTCTGTGCTTGCACTCTTTGCAAAGAATGCAGTGTTACTTTTGAAGTGACATTTTAAGTGACATGTCGTCTGATCTTTACTTTTGACCCCGGGTTTTAATTGGTCTCACTCATCACATCTCCTGCAGCTGTGTCAAAGCCAAGTGCAATGCTGTTTACCCCAAAATAAACTCTAATTACAGCATTCACACATTAGACAGCTTTAATGTCAGCCACATGTTGGGGCCTCAAAGCAATGGCATGCAGGTTAGATATGGCAGTGTTTTATGTCACTTTATACAACAACAGATTACATCATTTCTAGACATCTTTCATTATGCCTCGGGAAATTCAGTCTCTATTATACATATACATACATAGAAATAGATTTCTGCATTTACAGTTGGCCCTGAAATAATATGAGCTGGATCCTGCAATAAAAAGCCAACAGAGTTTGGCTGGCTTTCCCCTTTCATCTGAACAAGAAGAAGAATGTAAATTAGCTAAAAAAAAATAGTAGTTATATAAAATTAAGCTACAAAAAAAGGTTTAAGTTAGGATTTGTTTACCTTTTAATGGTTAATTTTGGTTGACGCAAGCCATCCGTGTTTGTTTGCTTTTCAGACATTTCCATATTGTGTAAAGCCAAGTTGGATATATCAGAGCTTTGGGGAAATCATATCCATCCGCTAGTCAGAGTTACGACTTGGAAGTTAGTTTTATAAGCTGGAAAACAGCAAATATGTTCCTTCCGTGTGACGTGAACACTGCATTAGTAGGCTGGCCAACACTGTTATTATGAGACTGCTTTAAAATTTTCTAGCAGCCTACATAATCCTCAAAGAACATAAAAGTTCATCAGTAATATTATCAATTTGTTTTCTTCTATACATGTATCCAGGCCGACCACTGAACGCCAAGTCACTTCATATATATTCATCATCCAACGTAAAGACTTATGGCAGTAATTATCTGAAGAATTAACAGAAATACTGACAAGGCATTTATCTGCCACATCTGAGGTACATCTGAATCAACTTTCCCAGATTGATTTTGGAGGCGTCACTACAGATGAAGTTGAAAGAAGATGACTGCTGAGACAGACAAAACACAAACACACATACAGTATTCTCCCTCACTATAAAACACAATCACAAATACAATTTTCCCTTTTTGCTCTGGGTCAAGAAATATTTTATGATAAATGTTTTTTTGGGCACCTTAGGGACAGCAGGAATCACATTGTGGACATATCACTGACATATTATCAGCATTAAAGCTGATATAGCGAACTTATAAGCAAACATTAGTATTTGTTGTGAATTGTGTTTTTGTCCACCTGAGTGTTAAGTCCAATATTCACTCTCCTTTTAGTTCTGTTTTTGGTCTCCACCAACTCTTGAGGGAAATATCTGACTCTTTAGCTGCTAAATGCTCCATTATGTTCACAAGCTAGTCGCTAACTGCCTGTCATTTGGTACTGGGCAGGCAGCGTACAGTGGGGTTTTTATTGCTTTTTTGATGAAAACAGTTGCCTGCTGTGGCAGGAAATTACACTATGAGAGCAGTGAGAATGAATCTAAAAGGTAAAGCTTGCGGGCCGTAAAACCAAAACAATATTGTGGAATATGCTACAAAGCTCCATCTAGCTGAGGGAGACTGAAGAGTCAGAATGACCTATCTGTGGGTTCATCTAGCAACTAGCAACACACATCCACATAGTCATTTCATGCATTGTTGACGTAAAAATACTTATTGTAGCGGCTTTAAAGCCAAGTTGGGTGTATCAGAGCTTTGGGAAAACCCCATCCATTAGTTGAGTTAAAACTTGGATGTTGATTTTAAAATCTGCAAATCTGCAAATAAGTTCCT